GCGATGTAAACGTCATGTTCACGTTGGCGGTGTCAGTCACACAATGGACGAGGTCGTAGAGCCAGTAGAACAGAGGCAGCAGTGCACAGGTAAAAACACATTCGTGTCTTGGAAATTATTCTCCCGACGTGAAATATAAAAGAAAATAACAAATATAATATCGCCTACAACTTAAATGTCACTGGTGAAAACAACCTGCATAGACTCATGATGTCTGCACTACTGTCCTATAGTGACCTGCCACATGAGGGGACACACACACAAACACACACACAAACACACACAAACACACACCTTCATCATCGTCATTAACCTCAGAACGCGCGGACCACGTTTCCTTCCGTAGTTACTGCGCGGACACCGACGTGCTCCCGTGAGCCGCGTGTGGATCGTGTTTTCTCGCGTACGCTGCGTAAACTGCGCTTCCTCCTGTGCGCCTCTAAACCAGAACTAACACCAAGACTAAAACCAGGACTAATCCAGTCCAGGACTAAACCAGAACTAATACCAGAACTAAAACCAGAACTAAAACCAGGTCTAAACCAGGACTAAACCAGGACTAAACCAGAAATAACACCAGGACTAAAATCAGGATTAATCCATTCCAGGACTAAACTAGGACTAAAGTAGGACTAAAGCAGGTCTAAACCAGGACTAAAACAAGGACTAAAACCAGGACTAAAACCAGTGATCTCATATATAAAGCATTTCTCTATCAATAATATTTTTAATATGGTTAAGGAAAGACTGGACTTTTTATTGTCTTTAAGTAGACAAAAGTTATTATGTTCAGATTTCCTCGTCTTTGCTACTTTACAACAAACAGTTTCTTATTCATGGAGACTTGGGCTCAACAGCCAAATTGGAGAGATTTGTTAAACAATAAATGACTTTATAAAGTCATTTTTTTTGTTCTATATCAGTCTTTTGATCTGCCACAATAATGTAATAATGAATTTAAATGAAAATACCTCAAATTGAAGGCTTTTCTCAGCAATTTTTAGGTGAGATTAAAATGAGATTAATTAGATTAATTAATTACAGATCATAATTAATTAATCTCTCATTTTTTTTATCGCATGACAGCACTAAATGTTACATTAAAGTTTTGATCATTTTATTGGAGTCAAGAACAGCTTTCACGTTTTTATTTAATTTCCTGTTTAAAAACAGGACAGTGAGTGTCATACACTGAATAACTTGAAGCCAGAATTACTTGCAGAATCATTTTACTACTATTTTACTTACATTTATTCACAAAACCCATCACTCTTTGCTCAGTTTAGAATTTGTTTTATTCACTTGAGCTACTCTCTCAAATAATTGAGTTTATTAAAAAGTGAGGGGACATATGATGACAGAGTTATCTACATACACTGTTAAATTAGTTTGGTTTTACTAGCACCTAATAGGCCTTAGGAATGTCAGAAGTGCTGTGTTACTTTGGGAAGCTGCCTGTTCGAATCTCACAAAACACACGAAAATTAAAGCGATGATACACCTTGCAATAAGTGCTGAAGTGAGTGTAAACAATGCTGAAAAGATAATAGATAAGAAAACAATAATATAATGGACATTTCCCTCCTCTTCTCTCCTTTTCTTTTTCTCCCTTCCCCCCTCTTTCCTCCCTACAGGTCCTAACTCTACGTCACGTCAGTCACGTAGGCAAGGGGGCGGGGATGTCGTGGTACAGGAAGTTTACAGTAGCGGTCATTTTACACAGTTTTTCAAAAGTTCGGGAAAAGGGTAAGTTTGGAAATTTGCTTAGTACTCATAATAAACTATATTATTGCTAACTGACAGAATCAGTAGCCCAAGTATTATTTATTGGTTTATTTTCCGTATAAACTCCGCTGATTTTACGGGAAAAGACGTGAAATAATCATGCCAAGTTTCATTGTTTTCTCACAAGTCCTTAAATACAGGTGTACGACTTTACATAGGGGGCTCAAGGACGACCCAAGGTAGGGGGCTGTGGAGTTAATGAGGTTACATAAGGTCAACATAGCATAATCTACAGAATGCGCACGTAGCTATTTTATATGGTCTATTCACACCGCTACGCTACACAATGCACACATGGCTCATTCATGTGATCATTTATTCACGTGTAGCGACATTGGTTATTATTATTTACCACAAGGGCTGTGATTGCTTTGTCTTTGTACAGAGGGCAAACCATGACCCTCCAAAGCACTGAAACTTTGCTATGTTTTCTTTGTATGAGAAATGATAGAAATAAAGCCTGCAAAACATGTAGAATTTCCTCCCCTCCGTCTGTCTATACACGTATGGCCAAGCTCGACATTAAACTGTTTGATATTTAATGTTTGCAGATGACTAAGACAGGAAAGCCAGATAGTTCCTGGAGGGACATCTGCTTCAAGTATGCCCAGGGCAAATTCCACTTTTCAGCTGGCAAACGGCCAGGGGCCAAGAAATGGAAAAAGGCCATATTTATTTAGTTATGCTTTTTTTTTTGTTTCGATATCAGATATATTTTAAAACACGCAGACATTATAGCGTAGACTGCCACTCGGGGTTTTTAAAACTTAAAGACAGACCGATGGAGTGAGGCTATGACTTTGAAATAACATAGCAATGGCAGGCAATGGCAGAATGTTCAGAATGTAACAACATCCAACACGAAGGCAAGAAGGTTCAAAAATAGCCTAGTCGGAAAACGTTGTCAGTTAATTAGCTGCGCAAGAAAACCAGGTAAGTCTGGGGTTGTTACGGACAATAAAGAATGTGAACATACACGCTGAGCGAATTTTGGAATGAATGAGCTATAGAGTTTTCATTTTTATCGAGGCTCCTTAGTTTGTTTGCTGTATGATTGTTCTAAAATCTAAAATCAATCGGCGGATGGCGGGCGGGTGCGGTTTTGAAAACCTTCGGTGCAAAATGGACAGCGGGCGGATGATGAGTTTTGTGTCGCGGTTGCGGATGAAAAAATAGCCCATCCGCACATCTCTAACACACACACAGAAGCACGTACAGACAGACACAGACACACGTGCACGCACATACACATAGAAACACACACATGCACACACACACAGACAGATACACACACACGCGCGCACACGCAAAAACATACGCTCACACAAACACACAAACACACACACACAGAAGCACGTACAGACACATAGAAACACACACATGCACACACACACAGACAGATACACACACACGCGCGCACATGCAAAAACATACGCTCACACAAACACACACACACACACACAGAAACACACACGCACAGACAGACACGCACACACACACAGAAACACACACACCCAGACAGACACACGCACACACACACAGAAACACACACGCACAGACAGGCACACACACAGAAACACACACGCACAGACAGACACACACACACACACAGAAACACACACGCACAGACAGACACACACACACACACAGAAACACACACACCCAGACAGACACACGCACACACACACAGAAACACACACGCACAGACAGACACATGCACACACACACAGAAACACACACGCACAGACAGACACACGCACACACACACAGAAACACACACGCACAGACAGGCACACACACAGAAACACACACAGAAACACACACACCCAGACAGACACACGCACACACACACAGAAACACACACGCACACACACACAGAAACACACACACCCAGACAGACACACGCACACCACACACAGAAACACACACGCACACACACACACACAGAAACACACACGCACAGACAGACACACACACAGAAACACGCACAGACAAACACACGCACACACACACAGAAACACACACGCACACACACACACAGACACACACACATGCACAGACAGAAACACACGCACACAGAAACACACACAGACACACACACACGCACACACAGAAACACACACAGACACGCACACACAGAAACACACGCACACACCGACACACTCTCGCACACACAGACACACTCTCACACACAGAAACACACACGCACACACCGACACACTCTCGCACACACAGACACACACGCAAACACAGAAACACACATGCACACTGTTGAAGACAAATTCCATGTTCGTATGTGGTTTGCTGTAGTTGTGTCTTTATGGGTTGGAAGTTGCATGTTGTAAGCAGCAGATGGTGAACTTCTGACACACATGGTGTCTGTGGAGCAAGCTGACCATGAGCAAAGGTATAGCAAGCATTTTATACACACAGAGGTGGGGAAAATATACAGATTAACATTTGGCGCAATTTCACAGCAATAACAAAGAACCCTCATAAACCCCCTTTTGGTAAAACACTGGTCATTGTTTCAAAAGATGAGCATTTCAAGTACAGCTGAGATCAGGAAGGACAGCAGCAGGGGGCGACAGGTGAAGACACCAGGGGCCTTTGATGGTGTCATGGGTAAAGTCTATAAGTGTAAAACACATCACATGTATTCGTTAACCAGAATGAAAACTAAAACCAGAGAATAATAACTTTTCTTCCACAAGCATCTGTATTTACTTATTGTGACAGTCCCAATACGATCCTACAAATGAACTTGAACTGTCCGTTTTATACTCCTAACCCTGCTCATTGTATCCCGCACAGGTGGCCACAGCCTTGGATGCGCTCAAAGAGATGTCCATAATCCACGCGGACATTAAACAGGGAAATGTGATGGTGGTGGATCACAGACAAGAGGCCCCCGCAGGTCAAACTCATCGACTTCGGTTTGGCCAGGCCCGCAAAGGAGGCCAAACTGGGCAGGAGGATCCACCACGTGTGCCACAGTAGGTCTCAAAAAGTAGAGAAAGGACATAACAGGGAATACAGTGGTGGGACATACAGGGATGGACTTGGGATATTTAAAGACGGGGTATTTGACTTTTATGGGCTTTTAACCTCTTACACATAACATATTTAGATCACCATGCTTCCTTTTATTGTTTTGAAAATGCTATATTTGCTCATCTGACCCACTGCTCTTAATGTCTCTCTCCTCTCCAGACCCCCTGAAATCATTCTGGGTTTGCCTTGGAACGAGGCCGTGGACGTGTGGTCCCTGGGGACCATGTTTGCCGACCTGTGGTTAGGAATTAAATTATTCCCCAACACCACTGAATTTGAGGCGGTAAGTCATCGGACAAGCGTAGATCATGAAAACCCTTTTTTCTTCTTTCTTGAATTTGACATACATATTAAAGGTGCACTACGTAACTTTTCTGGTGGAGGCTCTGATACCTGATGGTCTCCATGAGGATGGCATTGCTTTGTCTGAAATATTCCACAAAATGGCAATTAATCTGTCTTCCTGTAGTCAAGCTGTAGTTAGTTACCTGACCAGCCAGTCCCTTCTAGGCATAACGAAAACCCACATATTGTGACATTGTATCGTCAAAAGTCTCACAATAATAGCGGAGGCCCTCACAATATATCGAACATTTGACTGCTAGTGTACGTTTAATACATACCCGGGTTAACAATAACTTCTCCATGGTACTGGACTCTCCAGAAATGTTACCTAGTGCACCTTTAAGTCTTATCTAACAAACATGTGCTTCTTTTGATACAGTTGAGAATTATGATCAGACTTCGGCGCACCTCCTGATCACATGCTCAGTCAGGGGCGCATGACTAAGACATTCTTCCGCTGGGTCGACAACAGATGGTTCCTCAAAGTAAACATTTCTTCTAGTTAGATTCATTCTTTTATGTGTGACAAATATAAAAATGATAAACTTCTCAAATGTTTTTTCAGACTCACGAGTGTAAGATCCACTACGCAGAGCGCTTCAGCTCCCTCCGCCATCTGGTCCAGGTAAACATTGTCTTTGACCCAAACAGCGATTTCAGATGTGTCCATTTAAACTAGAGCTGTAGTCCTCTGAGAAAAACTAAAAACTAAACTAACTAAAAACATGCCCTGCCAATCGATTAGTCGACTAAAATGGGAGTTCATGCAAAAATACAGAAAGGTTCTTGCAAACATTTGGACAAACACAAACACACCCAGACACACACAGACACACCCAGACAAATCTATCTTATTTTACTCTAAAATGCACTGACAAAGTGTTGTTTATTTTTAATAAATGTAAATGATCTTTCCTGTTGTCTCAAAAACTATGTCTTGATTTACTTGTACTCGTACAAGTGTGTGGATCAGGACGCGCAGGAGTGGAGCTTCCCTAGTGACAAGTGTTGTGGTTCGAATCTGTTATAAATTCCAAAATCCTACATAGAGCCTCTTTAAAACCAAAATAACAAGGGTCACTGCATGCTGTGGTGGTTCTTGTGTCCGTGGCAGGTTGGAGGTTTCCCCTGATTTTAATTTTCTTAGTTTTGGGTTTATTGGGTTTATTTTGAAAAATGAATGAATGATACACAGATGTAGGTTAACAGTGTGCAGCTTTTACAATATATTTTAGGAAAGAAAAATAAAATTTACTTTAATACAAAATATGTGTAACTCAGTTTTAGGCAGATCATATTTATATTAGAAAAGATATAAACAAGGTTTGAACACGTCCATCCTATACAAACGATTCATATTTTGTGATCTTTTGTACACAGTGATTAAAATAATAAAAACATGAACATTGTTTTGTTTTTTAATGTATTTTATTTGTCTTCATCAGAGTAACATAGCGTTTTATGACAACTCACCTCCATTCTGGGAGACTTCACCAGAATTTATTCCCAGTGCCGTCCCCCTTAAAACAAACTATATATTTATGTCACCAAAGATGTCTCAGGGAGTGACACAAACATCAGGTTAAAGGTGAGGTGAAACCCAAAAGCCCCGTTATCCTTTCTTTTGGACCATATTTCAAAAAAGCCCAAGCTGCTACAGCACAGCCACCTGCAATCAAGAGTCCTCTTGTCCATTTGCTGCTTGTATTTGGACCTGTGTCATCTTAACCACTGGCACCAGGTTCATTGCCATATTTGTTGCTGTTTGGGGTCTTTGAATGTTTTGATTCCTTGTACTTAATAAATCTATGGTCATCAAGAGAGTGAAATGTCTTATTGTCTTTTGAGAGCTTCTCCATTTGAGCTAAAGGTTGGTGCTGTTGAGTTGATTCTCTCTAGACTCCAGGTTGGACATAACCTCCTGTTGCTCCTGGATCTGGGTGGCATTTTTAGACTGCAGATCAGTAATGAACTCTTTCAACTGTTGGAGCTCCATTTTCTGCTGCTCATTTTGAATCTCAAGCTTTTCTTTTCTTGTGGTTTCACTCAGTTGAAAAGAGGTCATCTCATTAAACTTTGTAGTTATGCTAACGTTTTCAGCCTCTGCTTGTTTAATAAGTGACTGCAGTCTGGCTTGTTCGTCAGTGAGTGTCTCTATTTGAGCCAGAAACCCAAGTCTATCCTGTTCGGACCTTTCTTTTGTTAAAGAAATGATGCGTTCACATTCAGTCTTCTCTTTGCTGAGTTGTGTGTTCTTTTCCTCAGGAGACTGTACCTGTTCTTGAAATTCACCAACTTCAGCTCTGAGCTCCTGGATTTTCTGTTTGTCCCTGAATGTGAACGTTGAGCTCCTTAATTGTGCAATTTGAGCTCTCTACCTCTTCACTTAAATGGTTCACAGTAACAGATAGTTTTCCATTTTTAGTTCGGAGGGACTCAAGTTCACTGATCAGTGACTTTTCTGTTTCTTCAACTTGAGGCTGAAGACGAGTCTTTTCCTGCTCCCAACTTTTCTCTGATTCTAAAAGAGTTTTCAGATGTTCCTCCTCTAGACTGCAGGTTAGTGACTAAATCTTTGAGCTCTATGAGATCAGCTTTTTGCTGGGCATTTTCCAACACAAGACTATTGTTCTTTTTTATTACCTCATTGAGTAAAGTGCTAATCTCATCTAACCTGGCCTTAAGAACGACCAGTTTAGAGTCTCTCTCTTTGAGATCTGACTGAGATCTGGTCAGATTTTGTGTGAGACCCTCTATTTCAGCTGCAAACAAAAGTGTATCCTGATCAAACTTTTTCATAGAGGACATCGTCATGTCCTGTTCCCTCTTCTCTCTGCTGAGCTGTTCCATCCTTTCCTCACGTGACTGTAAATTGACTTGAAGTTGGTCAAGCTCAGCTTTGAGTTTCAGTTTTTCTTCAGTCTCTGCCTGAATCTGACCCTTGAGATCATTTATTATCATCTCTGATGCTTTTGCATCTTTATCTAATTTTGCTATATTAGCAGATAATGTATTGTTTTGGTCTTGCAGTGACTGAAGTTGGATCATATATAATCTTTCTGTTTCTTCCTGGATTTGTTTTGAATCTTTCTTATATTCTGAAATCTTGTTTAACTGTTCCTGGTCATTAAACTGCAGATCTGTGAGGGACTGTTTGAGCTCTTGGATTTCAGCATTTTTCTGACCATTTTCCAACATCAGATTTGAGATCTCCTTTTGGTGGTTTCTGGTCATCCTTCTGACTTCACGATTTAGAATGAGCAACTCATAGGTTCGCTGGTTCAGCTCCGTCTGAAGTTTGAATGTTTCAGTAGTCTTCATCTCCAATTGAGACAAACGCCTATGTATGTCCTCATTGTACTCGTCTTTCCATTTTCAATTCCTCTTCCAGGTTCTCACGCAGACCCAGTTGCTTCTCCATTTCTGCAGATTGAGATACGTCTGCAGTACTGTGTTGCCATGGTAACCATTCTTAGCCTTTTTAAGGCTGCAAGAATCATTACAATCAAATCGAAATCACAGTTTGAACAAACACTATTAGTAAATCATAAATGCTGTTGTTTTTGAAGTACCTCAAAGGTGCACTGTGTAACTTTTTGGTTGGGGTTCTGTCACCTGTTTGTTTCTATGGAAGCGTCATTGTTCTGCCCGGAATGTTCCATAGTATGGCATTAAACAACTCTACCTTGCATTTATTTTAAAAATACCTAGAAAAACAGGCAACTGTGAGTCAGATCTGAGCTGTAACTCAGTCTGGTTTTGTCTTGATGATGACAGAAATGTTTAATGTCATACTGTGAAACATTCCAGACAAAGCAATAACATCTCCAGGGAGATGCATTTGACCCTCCACCAGAAAAGTTACACAATGCACCATTAAAGAAGACCTGTTGTGCTGGTGACACCAGTGGATCATTGTGCTATAATTTGCACATTTCAAATCACAATATTCATTTAAAACGACTTAATAAAAAAACAAAACCATTCTGCTGACTTTCATGTTAGAAAACTGTGCTGCCCAATGGGAGCTGACATAAACACAATGGATTTTTTTTTTAAATTTCTACCAACATGGCTGCGCAACACTGCTGAATCCTACGTGTATCACGGATTAAGAAAATAAAATTGGAGAATGAAGTAAGTACAGAACAGTGGGTGGGAACCTGTGGAGGTGAAAACGGGGGATAAAAAGGCCCTTTTGAAAATAAGTGATTAAAGATTTCTCAAACATGCACAAATCTCTCCACAAACAACAATATAAAAGTGATGAAAAGTTGATTTTGCATAATAGGTCTGCACAAATACAAAATCTTCTGTCTGAAGTGTCTTGACTGCCAGGACTAAGTCAGGACTAAACCAGGACTAAGTCAGGACTAAGTCAGGACTAAGTCAGGACTAAACCAGGACTAAGTCAGGACTAAGTCAGGACTAAGTCAGGACTAAACCAGGACTAAGTCAGGACTAAGTCAGGACTAAACCAGGACTAAGTCAGGACTAAGTCAGGACTAAACCAGGACTAAGTCAGGACTAAGTCAGGACTAAGTCAGGACTAAACCAGGACTAAGTCAGGACTAAGTCAGGACTAAACCAGGACTAAGTCAGGACTAAGTCAGGACTAAACCAGGACTAAGCCAGGACTAAGTCAGGACTAAACCAGGACTAAGTCAGGACTAAGTCAGGACTAAACCAGGACTAAACCAGGACTAAACCAGGACTAAACCAGGACTAAACCAGGTCTAAACCAGGACTAAACCAGGTCTAAACCAGGTCTAAACCAGGACTAAACCAGGTCTAAACCAGGTCTAAACCAGGACTAAACCAGGTCTAAACCAGGTCTAAACCAGGACTAAACCAGGAAACCAGGACTAAACCAGGACTCTCAGTTGTCCCAAGTTTCTCGTTCACTCCAAACTTTCTTTCTGCTGCTCGATTACCATTTTCAGCTGCATATTTCGCTTCTTGCAGTTTGTAATCTGAAACATAGGATTTTCTTTTTAGGGGCATTTGTTTTCAGTCTTCTCAGTCGTCTCTATCAGTTTGTTTAAATTGTAAATTTTCAGTGATACAGAAGTAATGGTGCGATCGACTGACATGATACAGACAGGACAGAGGCTCTTTCTGCAGGAGACATGCGCAGTAGAGTGAAGTGACAGTGATACAGGAGGAACAGGAGCAGCAGACATAGTGTCATGACGGTCGTTGGACGCACGTCTGACACTGCTGGTGTGAATTATCAGACCGGTTAAAATGGAATGGAATTCACAAAAATGTGGCAAAGAATTAGCTAAAGCTGGGAACGAAATAGTAATTTGAGGTCACAATTTAGTATCTTTTTTTGCGTACGTCATCAGGCGGGTTCTCTACGCTTCTGTATTTGTACATTAGTCCTGGTTTAGTCCTGGTTTAGTCCTGGTTCAGTCCTGGTTCAGTCCTGTTTTAGTCCTGGTATAGACCTGGTTTAGGCCTGGTTCTTGTCCTGGTTTAGTCCTGGTGTAGTCCTGTTTTAGACCTGTTTTGGACCTGGTTTAGTTCTGGTTCTAGTCCTTGTTTAGTCCTGGTTTAGACATGGTTTAGTCCTGGTTTAGACCTGGTT